TGAGATAGGATGGTAGGAGGATTGGGCTGGGAGATGAGTCGGATGAATGGGAACTGCAGGGGCTCTGAGCCTGCGTATGGCCTATCCCACATACATATACACTGTAAGAAAAAAGTATTAAAAGTATTATTAGTGCTTGCATGTAACAGTGATTAATCCTTGAACAATTTGTCAAGCTTTTAAGGTTCTTAATACACGAAAATGCCTTTAAATATTTGTTTAAATTTTCTAATAAATATATAAATGTAGTCAATAAGAAAACTGTAAAAGATATTATTTGTCGACGATAAGATACAGAATTAAAAAGTATTGCATTGCGAATATATATGCATATTTATTTATGATACCCTAGCTAAGTTTAAAATTGTTATTTAATTTTCTTTTAGTGTACATGTGGGACCAAACACCCACACACGGTCACAAACACAGAGACAGATACAGATGCCGGGGCGAACTTCAAGCGCAATTTTACGCAACAACAAAAAGTTTAATTGAGGATAAACTTTGCTGCGTTTGCGCTGCTGTTGAAAATCAACCAACGTCGACATGGAAAATTTTCCCCCTCCCAAGGAAAATCGTGGAAAACTTTGTGGGGGGGGGGAGGGGGGCATGGGTAGTGAAAAGAGGCCTTAGTAGTGTAGAAATTGCGTGTATGTTTGCTTCTTATCTCTCTTTGCTGTTTAAGTTTTCGCTTTCTACTCGGCATTACTTTCTTAATTTCCTTTTTTTTCTGACGTTGTGTTGTTCGCGGCCAAACTTTGGCTTTAAGTTTACCAATATCCGAATTGTTTCATGGCTTTAAAAAGAATGGAGGAAAAGACGAAAGTAAATTGAACATTTATTGGTCATTCATTGCGCTTCGCTTCTTGCATTGTTTGTCAAATGCCAAATGAATGGCAAATATCGATGAAAAGGAAATGAAAAACGATTCGACCCGGAGTAGCCTGCTCCTCGACCTGAGCCACCAATCAACCAACCACCCACCCAATCCCATTTGTCCCCAGGAAAACCACACACACACACACTCTATATTCATGTGCCATAATTCGTCCATAGAAGCGTAGACGAAACCAATGTGGGAAACTGAAACACAAATGACCTGAATAAAAAGCGACGACGCGACACAAACGATTGACTCTACATGTGTTCTGAAAATTTTTTAAAGGTATTTTTGGGTGGGTAGGTGAGGTAAAAACGAAGGATATTGCTAAGTTCACGAGTTGTTTTTAAGGTGATTAAATAAATCTCAAGATATTTTTAATAACAGAAATGTAGAAGTTAAAATTGTTTTAAGCCCGTCCCAAAATTATTTTATAAATTATTGCATTGCTAATCAAAACCTCAATTATTTTCGAGGTATATATTGTTGCATTAAAATATTAAGCCCAAATATCCTTAACGGATTACCTTTCACAAAACTCCAGCCGAATCCCGAGGCGCAGACAAACAATGCAGTCAATATTTTTTTAACCAATTTAACGAGTTTTATTAAGGGCTATCAGTCATTGAACACACAAGCGGTTGCTTAATCCCTGGCGTTTTTTTTCCTTTACCACAGAGCGGGCGCGGCATAGCCCAAAGGTGCTGGGGCATAGGCCAGTGGAGCCGTGTACTTGGCCAGAAGTGGAGCGGCAATGGGATGGGTGTAGGGCGCAGCGAAGGGCGTGGCAATGGGGGCAGCAAACGGAGCCACTCTGTTGAGGATCGGGGTGGCCAGTGGAGCGGGAACTGGAGCTGCGAAGGCAACGGGAGCGGGGGCAGCCAAGGGAGCAGCCAAGGGAGCCGCCAGTGTCCTCAAAACTGGAGCAGGTGCCACCGGAACTTGGGCAATCACCGGAGCAGCGGCGATGCCATTGAAGGTCCTGGCCACCACTTGGCTACTGGCGGCGGTGACAACCGGAGCAGGAGCAGCCAGCAGAGGAGCTGGAAGAGCCGCCAGCGGAGCATGGAGCAATCCCGGCTTGCCAGCCACACAGGCAATCAAGGCGCAGATGACAACGGCCTAGAAATAAGTCAAGAAATTAGTTAAAAAACAGCCTTTAGAGTTACTTGGCTAGCCAAAACTAACGTATTTGAACATGATGGGTGTTTGGTTTTTTGATTTAAGGCTGAGCTTGGGTTGATTTGAAAGCAAAGAGCTGACTGATGACAAACGAAGGCGGCCGCTGGCGTATTTATACGATCGAATGGCACACGCGGCGTCTACTTAATATTCTTAAAGTGTACGCACCGTTGGCCCATTATAAGTGTCTGAAAAATAATAGTTGGTGGCTTTTAGGTTTTAGGTCTTTGAGGGACGGCACAAAACCCGAAGGGCAGCCAATTGCACTATTCATAAATTGATTTTTACTGCAATTTCGATTTCATGTGGTTGATGTGAGCTAGGAAAATTAACAAGTGGGTTAATTGGTAGTGACACAAAACCTATTTTTATTTTACTTACCAAATTGTTCTTAAAACCAAACCTTCCCAAGTAACCACATCCCTTGGTCGAAATTTACTGGTGTTTTGGGTCAGAAATTAAGCAAAACTACTCATAACAATAATTCAAGTGAACATTTCTAACCCTTTGTTTCTGGCTGCCAGGCATTTTCATTGAAAACCTGTTGGCAGGAGCAAAATATACATATATAGTCTAGTCCAGGCATCCCGGCCAATTAAGCATTTTGAGCACGTGCCGAATTTGGTCAGCAGTAGAAAGCACACATAAACACACTTGAACGATTTTGGGAACTCCTCTGCTGGACGGCGACGTTACGTTTATTGTTTTTGCCATCCGGGTCAAGGCTGGAATGCGGTTGTGGTTGACTGACCTTTCCTATATGCTTGGAGAGAATTAAGGAAAGAGTTGACCGATTGAAAGTGACAGTAAAAAAAATTGAGTTCTCTTGCCAATATTATATATTTTATGTATTTACTTACGGTCAAAGGAGGTTTAGTGATCGGAAAATTAATAGACCTCCAGAGGCTGCTACTAATCTTATGATCAGAATCCTGATCTCAAGATCTAGTTCTTGACCTCGAAACTTATTACCGTAGTTTACTACATTCTTAGAAAAATTTCATTGATTATATACCCGTAAGTACCTCTAACATTGTTTATATTTTCGTCGGAAGAAATTGAGTAGGCCTATTGATGAGGACAAACATAATTTTTGTAGTCAGGATTGTATTTTAATAAAATCAAATAAAATCAAATAAACATAAAAATGTTTTTGTAGCTGGGTTTCTTCTTTAAATTAGTTTATTTGTAATTTATTATTCCCAATTCGATCAAGGATTTGTTGTTTGAATACTAGTGACTGGAACTATTTGCTCTTGAATAATTTTGCAAAATATTTGTGGAACCTTGAGGTGTCTTGACTTTCAACTTCATTTAAGATACGAAATCGTTACTTTATAAAGAGATACAGATATATGTAAATTACTAAAGTAGTACGCTTATTACAGTTAGCAGGTGTGGTGCGCACTCTGAATGCTAATTCCTTTCCGGCAGTCACGTTCTCTTTCGAACCCATTAAAATATATCGGATTGGATAAGCGGTCCTAAAAACAACTTTTTTTGTTTTTTTTTTTAAGAAAAAATACAACATTCTGCTAGATCCTACATTTAATCTGTTTCCAGGTTTTCATTTCACTTTTATTAAAGTATAATTAAACAGAGAAATATTTAAGTCCACTAAAAAATATGTTCATATAAATGTTTAAAATATTTTTTGAATCGCAAATTAACTAAGTAATAATAATAATAACAAATTATTGTCTAAAACTATTTTGAGTACAAAATTTATTATATCACCTGTCTGCATATACAAATATAAATTAATTAATTTTTAGAGATACTTAATGAATAAAGCAGAACTCATTTTTGGATACTTAAACTTCATAATAGTACCATTTATTTGTCATTGTTAAATTCGCTTAGCCCTCGAAAGTTCATTAGCCCGACCTCGTCGGCCCTGCGACCTTGACATAATTGCATGTACATATTTGTTGACAACAACTTCAAAACAAACCATTTGGGCCACTCTTAAATATCACGCATCCAGCGACGGCTGCCGGTGGCCAATAACTTGTCCACTGGCTACGTGAGCTGCATCCGCAAATGGCCAGCGGAGTACCAGTGGGCAGTCATTACTGTTGTTTATGGCCACGACCAGCTGACAGTGGCTAATTCAATTAAAATTGTGCGACAGTTCAACGATTTCCCCGCCCATTGATACCCATTTAATTCTTTGTGATTTTCTTTAATTTTAATTCGGTTGTAGATCAGTCATTGTTCTTACAGCAAAACTGGAGCGGCCACTGGATGGGCATGGTAGGCCAGTGGGGCGGTGTACGCCAGAGGGGAGGTGTAGGCCAAAGGAGCAGCCAAGGGAGCCGCCAGAGGAGCAGCTGCGTACTTGGCAACCACGGGAGCAGCCACTGGAGCAATCACTGGAGCAGCGGCGATTCCATTGAAGTTCCTGGCGATCACCTGGCTGCTGGTGGCAGTCACAACTGGAGCAGGAGCAGCCACAACAGCTGCGGGATGAGTGTAAGCCAGAGGAGCAGTGTAGGCCAGAGGAGCACCCAAAAGTCCTGGCTTGGCAGCAGCACAGGCAACGAGAGCGAGGACAACAACGGCCTGTGAATAAAGAGGTTTGATTAGTATAATCCTCTCCAGTTCCTTTCTTGAAGCACCTACGTATTTGAACATGATGGCTAAATATTTCTTTGATTGCTTCTTGGGAAGTCTGGAAATGGTTTGATGTCCAACTACCGTTATACCAGCTTATTTATACCCAAAACAGTCTGCAGCTCTGACGTATTCAGTTCATTTAAATGCTCTGCGAGTTTGCCGTTACCATTTGCACTTTACCATAGTTTATGTGATTTCCCACTGCTGAATGTGGAATACCTAAACATTGTTTGGAAATTGCTTGCCTAAGGTCACAGTCGGAATCTTGTCTTGCTTTGGTGTATAAATAGCGACAAGGAAAGCGATGAATGATATCAGACAAGTTCAAGTCTTCGAACCGAAAGCATCAACACAAATCAACCATCACTATGTTCAAATCCGTGAGTTTGTAGTCTTGAGTTTCTGTCTACTTTTATTAATGTGTTTTTATTCACAGCTTGTTGTCATCCTGGCCATCGTTGCCTGTGTTGCTGCCAAGCCAGGTCTTCTGGGTGCTCCTCTGGCCTACACTTCTCCACTGGCCTACACTGCTCCTCTGGCTTACACTCATCCCGCAGCTGTTGTGGCTGCTCCTGCTCCAGTTGTGACTGCCACCAGCAGCCAGGTGATCGCCAGGAACTTCAATGGAATCGCCGCTGCTCCTGTGATTGCTCCCGTGGCTGCTCCCGTGATTGCCAAGTACGCAGCTGCTCCATTGGCTGCTCCTTTGGCCTACTCCGCCCCCCTGAGCTACGCCGCTGCTCCCGCACCACTCCTTATCTAAAAAAAAAACAAACTGTGATCACCTAGAAAAATAAAAAGAACTTTTATTCAAACTAATTTCTTTCATTTATTGACATAAACCAAAACTCAAGGAGTAAAAGAGTATTCTTTGTTAGAAGTTAATCTAAATTTGCTTATTTGTTGTAAGCTAACTTATTCAATACAGAAATTTTGCGAAAATGTAATGAACGAGGGTTCATGAAGTGTGAATTTTTGATTTTTTGATAATTTACAGTTTTGAACGGATTTTTTTCTGGGCGCATATAACTAAAAAATCCGTTTTTGACTCTGTTGAAATCTTAGTTGATCAGCCGAAATGTGCAATAATTTTTATGAGCAATAGTTTCTTCGGTCTTGATTGACTTTGAAAAAAAGAGTTTTAGTCAATAGAACGTTTGCTAAATATACGCATTTATTGTTTTTAAAATCCACAAAATTTGAATTATATTTTCCACCTTGATTTTCATCTATTCCGGCTTTCACCTATTTGAAACATGATAATATTTAAATATTTCTTAAATAATTAATTTGATTTTTTCGGAATCGATTTTCAAATCTGAAAATATAATTTAGGTTTAAACTATGTCAAATCTAATATTACTATGCGACCTTTATGATAGAAATCAGGTGTTTAAACTCTTGCAAATGTATCCTTAACAACCCACAAACCTCTAACCAGAATTATAAATAACTTTTAAACAGTTATTAGCCATTATTTGTTGTTATGCTTAAGTTCCAAAGATTTAGTTTATTTTTCTAGGTGATCACAGGTTCCTTATTTAGATAAGAAGTGGTGCGGGAGCAGCGGCGTAGCTCAGGGGTGCGGAATAGGCCAACGGGGAGGTGTAGGCCAAGGGAGCAGCCAGAGGAGCAGCGGCATACTTCGCAATCACGGGAGCAGCCACTGGAGCAACCACTGGAGCAGCTGCGATTCCATTGAAGTTCCTGGCGATCACCTGGCTGCTGGTGGCAGTCACAACTGGAGCAGGAGCAGCCACCACAGCAGCGGGATGAGAGTAGGCCAAAGGAGAAGTGTAGGCCAGAGGAGCATCCAGAAGTCCTGGCTTGGCAGCAACACAGGCAACGATGGCCAGGATAACAACAGCCTGTGAATAAAAACACATTAATAAAAGTAGACAGAAACTCAAGACTACAAACTCACGGATTTGAACATAGTGATGGTTGATTTGTTATGATGCTTTCGGTTTGAAGACTTGAACTTGTCTGATATCATTCCTCGCTTTCCTTGTCGCTATTTATACACCAAAAGGTACTTCGTCTGTGACCTCAACTCTTCGAATTCAGTGGCCACCAGCAGTTATTCCACATTCATCAGTGGGAAATAACATAAAGTATGGTAAAGTGTAAATGGTAACGGTAGACTGTCGCAGCATTTAAATGAACTGAATGAGTTCGATCATGAGTCACAGTCACAGTATCACAGTATTGCTTCGGGTATAAATAGGTTCGACCAAGAGCAGTTGGACATCAAACCATTTCTAGCCTTCCCAAGAAGCAAACAAAGAAATATTTAGCCACCATGTTCAAATACGTAGGTGCTTAAATAGAGGAACTGTAGAGGATTATACTAATCAAACCTTTTTGTTTGCAGGCCGTTGTTGTTCTCGCTCTCGTTGCCTGTGCTGCTGCCAAGCCAGGACTTTTGGGTACTCCTCTGGCCTACACTGCTCCTTTGGCTTACACTCATCCCGCAGCTGTTGTGGCTGCTCCTGCTCCAGTTGTGACCGCCACCAGCAGCCAAGTGATCGCCAGGAACTTCAATGGAATCGCCGCTGCTCCAGTGATTGCTCCCGTGGCTGCTCCCGTGATTGCCAAGTATGCAGCTGCACCAGTGGCTGCCCCAGTTATCGCCAAATATGCCGCGGCTCCTCTGGCGGCTCCTCTGACCTATTCTGCCCCCCTGGCTTATAGCTCCCCCTTGGCTTACACAGCTCCTCTCGCTTACAATGGTCTCCCAGCGGCACCTGTGCTGGTTTAAGTACTATTAAATAAATTAAAACAAAATTGCAGTTCCTTAAATATTGACTACGAAATTAATTCAAATAATAAAAAACGTTTGCATAATAACTATATTATTTTTCATAATTTACTACAGAAGCGAGAATGGGGTAATATATATAAATAAATAAATTCAGCATAGCTTATAAACTTATGGTGGCTACTTCAAATGCAAAATATTTGTCGAGAATTTCGCTTTACATTGTAAGTGAACGGTTCTTTGACAGAATATATTCATATAATCTTGAAATTTACAAACACAACTAAATCTAGACATTAATGAATTGAAATTCAAGAACAACGAAATAATGCAAATCAATCCTAAATTTAAGTGAAGAAAATATGAGTATATATAGAATTCAAGCCTTTAATTTGTTTTCATACGATTCTGAATGTAAAAACCATGTGACGCCTTGAAAACATCATCATACGAATAAGATAAAGGATATAACTTACTCTTAATTAATTATTAAATTTATGAATAGTTTTGATTAAAAATCGGCTCTATTGTTACGCAAATTATACAAATTTTCATTGACCTTCAATTCTGGGAACGACATGGTTAATAAAACCCCTAATAGCCATAGCCATCGCCCTCCAAAACAAAATTTTAATTTATTACTATGTTTTCTTTATCATAGGAGGTTAATAGCAAATGTTCAGATGGCTCTTTTTCTCAAAAGAATGTCAACTGGCAGTTGGCCCATCAGGTCTACAACGAGGTGATTTTCACCTCCTAGGGTGCAACATCAAGGGCTCCTGTCGGTCACAGGTCACTCTTTGACCTTGACATAATTGCCAAGCTCGGTGCCCAAAGGCTACAAACAAAATAGCCCTCGAATACAAATCAATTTCGCACAATTTAATGTAACAAACATTGAACGGCAGCTGCTGCCGCTGAGCTGACAATAATTTTTATGGCCACTACGTGACCGGCATTTGAAAACTTTCGAATGTCCCACCGGCAGGCTGTGGGTACTTTCGGTCTTAGTATGCCAGCGGTAAATCCAATTAGCAGGAGCCGAAAAAAGGAGGAGCAATTGGAATTGGGTTTGATTTTTATATTTCTTTGAAAGCTTCTTAGACAAGAACTGGGGCAGCTGGCAGGGCATTGTAGGCCAAAGGTGAGGTGTACGCAAGGGGAGATGAGTACGCCAATGGAGAGGTGTAGGCCACTGGAGCAGCTGCGTACTTGGCAATCACGGGAGCAACCACGGGAGCAGCCACTGGAGCAATCACTGGAGCAGCGGCGATTCCATTGAAGTTCCTGGCGATCACCTGGCTGCTGGTGGCAGTCACAACTGGAGCAGGAGCAGCAACCACAGCAGCGGGATGAGTGTAAGCCAAAGGAGCAGTGTAGGCCAGAGGAGCACCCAAAAGTCCTGGCTTGGCAGCAGCACAGGCAACGAGAGCGAGGACAACAACGGCCTGTGAACAAAAAGGTTTGATTAGTATAATCCTCTCCAGTTCCTTTCTTGAAGCACCTACGTATTTGAACATGGTGGCTAAATATTTCTTTGTTTGCTTCTTGGGAAGTCTGGAAATTGTTTGATGTCCAACTGCTCTTGGTCGAACCTATTTATACCCGAAGCAATACTCAGCTGTGACTCATGATCGAACTCATTCAGCTCATTTAAATGCTGCGACAGTCTACCGTTACCATTTACACTTTACCATACTTTATGTTATTTCCCACTGATGAATGTGGAATAACTGCTGGTGGCCACTGAATTCGAAGAGTTGAGGTCACAGACGAAGTACCTTTTGGTGTATAAATAGCGACAAGGAAAGCGAGGAATGATATCAGACAAGTTCAAGTCTTCAAACCGAAAGCATCATAACAAATCAACCATCACTATGTTCAAATCCGTGAGTTTGTAGTCTTGAGTTTCTGTCTACTTTTATTAATGTGTTTTTATTCACAGGCTGTTGTTATCCTGGCCATCGTTGCCTGTGTTGCTGCCAAGCCAGGACTTCTGGGTGCTCCTCTGGCCTACACTTCTCCACTGGCCTACACTGCTCCTCTGGCTTACACTCATCCCGCAGCTGTTGTGGCTGCTCCTGCTCCAGTTGTGACTGCCACCAGCAGCCAGGTGATCGCCAGGAACTTCAATGGAATCGCCGCTGCTCCTGTGATTGCTCCCGTGGCTGCTCCCGTGATTGCCAAGTATGCAGCTGCTCCTCTGGCTGCTCCTCTGGCCTACTCCGCTCCCCTGAGCTACGCCGCTGCTCCCGCACCAATCCTTATCTAAATAACAAAACCGTGATCAACTAGAAAAATATTTAATTGAAGTAAATGAATACAATATGCTTAAATTGAAACCAGCTTACCAACAAATTCTGTTTAATGGGAACTTTTTTTGCATTTAATATTTGTGGGCATTGTGTCTTTGTGTCCCAGACACACCAGACTTTTTCACTCCTTTTCTCTTCTGTGTTTCTGTGGAGCTAAAGCCTTTCCATGAAGCACATCACTACCAAATTCCTATTGAACTGACAAATCTCATAACTCACCTTTCACCATTTATCACAGAGCTAATATGATTTAAAATTGCGTTTTTTAATTAACTTTAGAAAAATGTGAAAAAAGCGGCTTTCAAAATGTATTTTGTTTGTTTATTCTTTTTGTTTATATATATTTTCGATGAGAATCTGATATTGTCATGCTTTATTTTCTGCGTGTCGCGCCATAATCCCATTTTGTTCTTGGGCCCGTGGTTATTTTTTAGTTTTGCCTTTTCGCTTATCTAAAACGCTTTCATGGCGCATTTCATGCATTGATGCACAATTTAAATAGCCATTTTTGCGTTCGCGCGTTTAGATAGAAAATGGCATTTCCTTGCCAGCTGCCAGAAGCCAAAGGAAAAGCCGAAAAAAAATCCCCGGCATACGTTATCGCCTGCCACAGGGCTGAAAATCCACCACATTCCACATCCTCAAGGATTTGCGCGTTGGCGCTTTCCTTTCGTTTTTCCTGAGCAGATTTCCTTTCGTGGGTTGCCTTTAATTTGATTAGTTACAACTTGTGATTGCAAAAAAACTGCAAAATTCCAAAAATTTCCGAAAGAAGCAAACTCGTTGCATAATTAAGTTTACTTGCCAGGTGAAAGTCACGCCCAGACCAAAAAATCTGCATCTGCAGCCAGCAAACAAACATTTTGCAAAAAGTGTACAAAAAAGTATGTATAAACGCGACTTTTGCGTTCTCTCGTCTAAATAATTAAAAGTTCGCCCTTGCCCAGCGTCCACGCCCCTTTTTTTGTCGGTTGCGTTTTTGTTTGCCATTTTGTAATTGCTGTTAATGGCAAAAACAAGCAAAATGGTACACAACGTCGACGACTGTGGAAATCCGGGAGCGGGCAAAGCGAAAAATCTCCCAACTCTACACGAATTTTGCATTAAAAAAAGCCCGCACATGTAAAAACGGGGCGTTAAAAAATAAAACTTCCTGTTGGAATCGAATATAAACATACCCTTAATAGGATTTTTTACAATTGCTTCAAGAAAAAATGTACAATTTAATTTCTTTAATTTTAAAATGGCAGAATTCATTATGTCCGAAACAAACAGAGAAAACAATAATTATGTATTTGAGCAAAAATATAAGCAGGAATATATTTAACCCTCTAAGATATATAAATATGTTGTATTCAATAAAAAATTCACACCGATTAGTAATAAAATTATTTTGAATTCAAAAGCTTTGCCATGACTTTTAAGTTTTTAAACTGATATCATATTATATTATATTATTAAATATTAAATACTTTAAAGTAATTTAAAATTTAAATTAAATTTATATTAACGCATTGTAAAGTCTGAAGCTTAGTCTTTCTCGAATAAGGAATAGAGTATACCTAGAAATGGGTATTTTAAATGTAACAGGCAGGAGCCAAGATGAAGTTACTGCGACAGAACAGCAACCAGATTCAAAAATTTGTTGCCCTGCATCCAAGAGGACCAGACAGAGCCTAGTTACCGAACTTTATGACTTGCTTATGCCCGTGCCAGCTCCCTTCTGCATGTTTGTTTGTCGGTAGATGTTTTCCGCTGGCTGTTAATTTTGTTTGCCGACAAGGCGCAAAATGGTTGAATAATGGCCAGGCGACATTTCGTTTAATGTTTGACTTGGCTGCAATACAAAATCTGATGCAGGATGCGATGAGACAGGAGTACAAGGACCGGCAAATGTTTGCTAAGATTATTTTCATGTTTCTCCTTTATTTTGATTATGCAAAGGGATTACCCAGGCTAACAATGTGTGAGGAATGTATTATGCTAATAATATTTTGTGACTTGGACTATTCATTGTCATTCACTTTTGGTTAGATTTAAGAAAGCTTACAGATTATTTATTAACTAGCTTGAAATTTTACGACAGTATTAAATACATTTATTGAAAACTTCAAAAAAAAAACTAGAGTTAATATAATAGGGAGCGTATTTTTTTGTACAATGCATATATAAAAAATTCGCGTATGTATTGAAATCCAATCTGTGCTCGCAACTCCCCGCAAAAAAAAATACTTGCCAAACTCTTCTGAGACTTGGCTAATGATCCAGAGCCCGAGTCTATCTCATTGGCCTCGAAAAGAGGAGAAGCTGGGCCAGATGCCTGCCTATCTATATGGCTAATTAGGCTAAACAAATTATGGAATATGATTAATAGAGAGCACGGCCTGGCAATTAACTTTTTGCGATAAATAAAACGGAATATATACGTAAGTATGAATTAATGTAAGCCGAAATTGCAGGCAAATTTATTGACTCCGCCCACGAAGAACATCCCGAGGGCCTGTTTTGAAGAAGGGATTTGTCCTGCGGACTAACAATTCACGTAGTGATATTTGCATTTTTGATTGCCTCAATATTTCTAGCACTGCTTTTGTTTTTTGCTTATGGCCATCACACCGTTGTAGGTGTTCCAATCCCCCAAAAAATACAACCTAAAAAGTTTTTTCCCAAGAAACGTGTCGTGTAAATTAAAAAGGTTTTGGTTTTAGCGGGTGGTTTTTCGGTTTAAAAAATGATACGCCAAAGGTCAGCGAGGCTTTAAAGTTTTCCCAGCCAAGTTTTATGCAAATCATTTATACACATTTTTTTTTTGTTGGGCGTGACAAGGTTTAATTATGCCGGATTGTGGCCTGTTCATCTCCTTTTCTGTTGTTGTTATATAGAGTCAATGTAATTTACTTAATTGCTGTGAGGTTCATTCACACCAACGAGGAAAATATTTCAATCAAAAGGATTCCTTTTTCAGCGGGTATTAAAGGCTAAGCAAAAGTTCAAGCGACCCAACACAATGAGCCGATGTATTATATATCCAGGCAATTGTTTATGAGGCATCCGCTTTCTGGGTTCTGCGAAATGGAGGAACATCAATTTTTGGTGTGGAGAAGAGTTTCGTGCTTAAGTAGCGGGAAAAATAAGAATATAAGAAAAGGTAAAGGCGAATCCCTAGCGGCGCTGCTGCTACACTCCTCCGCAAAAATTTAGGACTTCAGGAGACCTGAGAAGTGACGTGTTTGGCGCTGCACCAGCACTTAACCTTGGCTGAACACCGAGGACACGGCACTCGAGTTATGAATTAAATCCTGCCACGAATCCTGTCCGCAGAGATAGCTACCACATAAACGGAACTTCGTATCTCTGCGAAAACTTTAACCCAAAAGCCTGGCCGGACGAAGTTGGTCCTCCTGCGTGGGAGAGAAAGCTTTGTCCTCTGGCTTCCATTCAGCAGCTCTCTTTGGCGAGAGCTTTCTGGCCAAAGAGATTTTCAGGAGGCAAGAGTTGGGCTAAAATATTTTAAAGAGAAGGTTTTAGATATGTCCAGGAAAATGTTTGTGGGGTTATCTTCAAGCGAATGATGCTTTTATTATTGGTCCTTTTTAGCTTTTTATTTTATTTCTAAAATAAATTCAAAATTTGTATACAAAACAAAAAAACTATTGCTTTGAGAATTTTCCACATTTTACACAAAAAGTATTTGAATAATAAATTCAACATTTTTAAACAAAAACAAAATTGACTGATTTTCAGAATATATTATTCCCAGAATTTTTGCACATTTTACAAACATTTACATTTAAACTGACAATGTGATTTTCAATTAGAAAATTCCAAAAAAAATTTACAATTGTTAAAAGTGATAGAAGTCCATTCCAAATCACATATCTGTTTTATTTAATTTATCATTAATTTAAAAACTATGTACCAAACAATAACTTAATATTTTAAGAATTCTTTTGGAATATATTTTATTTGATAGTTTTAAAAAAAAAGTTATTGGAAAATTTTATTGCTATAAAGTAGTCAAGTTTAACATATAACAATTTTATGTAGTCTTTTCGTTTTTGACGACCTTGATTTCGGCCTTTCGATGGTTGGCGGTAAGCGGATATAGTTTTGCCAGCATTTTGTCCGCCTGATCCGTGGTCATAGCGAACACGTGGATCATTCCCGACTCATGGACCCGCGCCGCCACTCCGGGCAGTGCCCTGTCCACGTAGTAGACGTACTGCACCTCATCAGGGAGGAGTTCTGAGCAGAGGGCATAGGCCTTACTGAACTCGACCAGGGCAATTCGCCAAGGATAGTAGGCACAGGACATGAGGCGTAAATGAAGCAACTTGTGCGAGCTATCGGCCTTGAAATCAGCTTGCCCCGTAATCTTGGCCAACACATCCTTTTGAGTTTCGGCCAGCATTGCTTGACTTCTGCCGTTGATAATCATCAAAGTGCCATTGGACCAAATCCAGGCTATCTGTGTGGCCTCATATCCCACTTGGATCACATCTATATCGCTGTTGTAAAGTGCATTGCTAAGACTATTTACAGCCACTTTTAAGTCCAAATTTTTGTTCACTTGCAGAGTGCAAAACGTTTTACAGAACTTCATCTCAATGCGCAGTCGCAAGTCCTCGACTTTGCGTTTAGCGGGACGCCGGAGGATCCGGATCTTCTGGAGGCACTTGTCCAGATGAACTGGCAAAGGTGGCAGCAGCAACGACCTCCTCAAATTCTCCGCCGACTTAACGCCGAATTGCTGGTCCCACTTGGAGCGCAGTCTTTTCGCCTGAGGGTCCCTGAACTCCGTCATGTTTTGGTCAATGATATCCTCGAAGTCCTCGAGG